AACTACCAACCAGAGAATTTTTGTCAGATCAATTACTTGAATGGGAATTAGCGATGGTAAACTCAACTGTTGCATCCGTCATTGAAAATGGAGCTAATTTAACATTAGATTTGTCTGCACTTTTTTTTAAACGATATTCTTAACTGTTAATGCGTATTTAATTAAATAATATTTATATAATTTAGCATTTGACAGATGGACGTCACCTACACACAGGTCTATCTGGAATTTTGTTATTATGACTCCCTCAAGGTAGGAGTATTTGTTTAAACTTCAAGATTTGTCCGACTATTCGCATACAGGCAATTACGTAGTTGAAGTAATTGGAGAAGTAATTGATAAGATCGGACCAAACAAAATATCAGCTGTTGTGTCGGATAACGCCTTAAACGTTCGAAATGCATGCAAAATAATCAAAGAAAAATACCCTAATATTGAAAATGTTCGATGCATAGCTCATGCAATCAATCTTATCGCATGTGATATTCTTAAAGAAAGTTTTGGTGATCGTTTATTGCAAACACAGGTCGAAAAGTAAAAAATCAGGCACCAATCGGTCACCAATCAGGTAGCTAATTGGTGCCTGATTGGTGACAATATTTGGTGAAAATGCCAATCAGTCACCAATCGGTCACCAATCAGGTACCTGATTGGTGACCGATTGGTGACTGATTGATACCTGATTTTTCACTTTTTGACCTGTGGAAAGGTTAATATATTAGGTTCATTTTTTAAAAATTCTCATCAAGCTGGCGCAAGACTTACACAATTAATCAAAGAAAATAGTATTCACAGAGGAAGAATGAAACTTTATTGCAAGACATGTTGGACAACTGCCAGTGAATCGGTAGATTCAATAATTAGATTAGAACTGGTACTAGAACAAATTGCTATTAATAACAGTAATTTGTTGAACGATAAGGTCAAATGTATTATCCAAACACGAAATTTATTTTCATATTTACGAATCCTTTTATTCGTTTTGAGTCTACTGAGAAAAGCTGTCTTGGCTTTAGAATCCCGATCAGTGATGACGCTTGGGAACTGTTTTTTAAGTTTAATACAACTATCAGTGGTTTTGAAAAAATTACCCAGATCATTTAATCAAAACTTCCGTAATCATTATTTCACCGTGATGAATGAAAGATTCAAAGAATTTGATAATGACAAATATATTACTTGCTTTTTTCTAGATCCCTGATTTAGGAATAGGCCTCTCAAAGACAAAGCTTATTCAAGAATTGTAAGATGCGCCACTACAATCGGTAAAAGATTAGGATTTGATCTCAGAGAATTCAGGGCCCTATGTGAACAAATTAAAGATTACCGTGATAATAAACCGCTTTTTGATCTTAATGAATCTTGCTCTCTAGATGATCCTCTAAATTGGTGAAATTTGATTGATACTGATCCACAACCGAATAGTCTCCCAAGAATCGCACGCCATCTATCAGCTATTTGTCCAAATTCTGCAAGCTGCGAGAGAGGTTTTTCAACTCTTGGCTGGCTATTTAATGATCGGCATTTAAATTTAAATATAAATCGATTAGAATCCACGGGTAAAATGATTATGCATTGGAAGTCCAATGCTAAAAAAGAACTTGGTTTTTACAGTATAGAAAAAAATAATACTCATATTAGTGAAACTAAAATGAACATTCGAATTGCGGAGGCTCTAACAGAAACTAATGATGATGATGATGAATGTGATGTTTTATTGAATGAAAGTTTACCTAATCAAATTACAATTCCTCCGAATAATTGTATTGTCTTAATAGAACATATATGGATCGATAAATTTGTTGATTTATCACACAAATTAGTAATTGAAGAAGTTGGGGAGATTCCAGATGATATTTTAGATGATTCTGAAGAAGAATACGAACATATCAATACGGATGATAGTAATGACGAAGAACAAGAAAGCAATGAAAGAGGAAATTATGATTATGATGTAGAGGAGTTATTGGACGAATTCATCAATGAAGACGTTGAAGACTATGAAGATGAATAAATTTTTACTTTAATAAATCAAAATTTGCGATAAATAATTTTTTTTTAATATATATTTATAAATTATAAATTAACAGCAACAGACTTTTATATAAATACAACATTCTATACCTGACAGAATTTACGTATAGACGGTATAGTATCATTTTGATAAAGTAAAAACTCGGATATCCTTTATACTTTGGTGGGCTCCAAGAACTTCTCCATTTCCCATTTTACCACAAAGTTGGCATCGTGCTTGTAGTTGTTTGGTTTTCAGTTTTCGAATTACTTTTGGTTTTAGTTTTAAGTCTTTTTAATTTCGTTCACTTTGTGAAATAAAAATAAATAATTATTTCTATAATTATAAATTAACAATTTCTTGTCAAATGTAATTTCGTACAATTTGATAATTTGACAATAAAAATAAATTTATTTTAAATTATACTGCGCATTATGTACGAAATAATACTTAAACATATATAAAGAATGTCAAATGCTGAAGTATTTCAGCAGGTATCGGCATATTGGCAGGTATCGGCATTTCAGCAAGTTTCGGCATTTCGGCAGGTTTCGGCGTTTCGACATTTTGACAGTTTTGGCACTATGTAAATAGGACCCTGAACAATTATAATTAAGGTCATATCTTCTATGCTAAAAATTTACCCTTGTCATCCTGAACTTACTTTTAAAGCTATAGATACAAAACTTTGTAATAATAATTGCCCTCCTATTATCTATAATTTTGTTACTTAAAAAGTAATATTTAATAATAGTAATTTTTATTTTTTTGTATATTGCTATGTATACCGATAGTGAAAAAATGTATATTTTTTTGCCAAATTTTGCCTATGTAACGATACTTATTTCAAATTCTAATCAGTAGATTTACAAGATTTTTGGTATCAAAAGATTCTTCTCTTCAAAAGAAACATTTTTTTCTATGGTAAAAAGTAAGATATGACCTCAATTATAATTATCCGGGATCTTATGTAAATAATTTTTACTTCCGGCATTGGGCTAAATGAGTTTTGGCAGGCAACCTTAGACTCAGCGTCTCACTCAACAATTACTGTATTACATAGCTAAAATTTTGTAATTTTTGAGTAGGAGATTTTTGTGCATTAATAACCAAATGAGATAAACTATATATAATCATGAGATTTTAACATGTAAACAATCTTTTTAAATACCTTTTATTATAGTCTTGAACAAATTAAGACTAGATGAATCGTTTGAAAAAATGGTCTTATAGTCTATGACGCAGCAGATTTATTTATTTTATCCTTGCAGATCTTATATAATTGTTATTTTAGTCAAAGACCATCAAATAACTGAGTTATAGTTCGGTCATTAGGATTACTGCGGTGACAAATAGGAATTAAATCCTGCATATTCCTAATTGACTGAACAATAACTCATATTATTAGGCATTTACTAATTGGTAATTTATGTTAGTACAACCAGTTACTAGGTTGTATAAAAAATACCTATTACATAAGCCTGATAAAACAGTTACTCGGCACTACGTGACCTCATAACTGTGGCACTGTCGTGCCTTACATGTATTTGCAATAAGAATATGATCAGTGAAATTTACTGAGCTGCGCTCAGTAAATCCCACCAATCATATTGCTTATTGCAAATACAACAGTTATTCGTGCCAAGTAACTATTAATTACTATGTATTTAGGATAGTTTAATTATAAAAATTGCACTTATGAGCAGTATATTATTATTACTATTACCAAATAAGTAATGTCGCTTTAGACTATTATTTGAGTTTTAAATCATCTAATAATATATAAATTTAAAATTATATATTAAAGTACATAAATCGATAAATAAATCATACATATACGCTCAAAAATCATAAGATTGTGTGAACCGATTCATAGAGTTCTAACAGTACTAATCCAACCTTAATCTTTTTAAAATCTTCATTGAATACATCATCTAATTTTTTCGATAAATTGTTAACTTACGCTGTTTGAATTGGAAATTTGAATTCGATTATCGATTTCGTAAGATGATAAAGCCAAATTCTAGTTTCTAAATGATCAGCGGTTTAAAAAAAATGTTCAGAATGTCTATACGTTAAATTTATGAAAAAAAATCTCATATAAAAGCGAAAAAAAAATTTTTTTGTTTTAACATTTTTAGTTAGTCAGTTATCTCATTGTTAACCTTTTATTAGAAATAAATAAAGCCACTAATACCAAATTAAAGAAATTTACTATCATATGATATTTATGATAAACAAGAAGATAATGCAACCATTGTGTCCATTTATACGATCTGAAAAAATATCTTTTTACTTATAACCTAATATAATGCTTTTATCAATTAATTTAGAATATCAAATATAAACAATATTATGCCGTTACTCTATTGTATTTGTAATAAAGAGATTATGTGTATTCAGTTATATGTTCCATTATAAGTATAACTCATAAATAAATATAAAGTCCTATTCTCTTTTACCTAATGAACATAAATACCATTTAGATATCTCTTTATTAAACTAATAAAATATTGAAATCTCCCTAAAAATATTTGTCCTGTTCTAAATTTATGAACTTACAAGGGAATAATACTGTACATGTCAACCAATTTCATATTTACCATAATTGAAGTTTAGTTATTAGTAAAATGACAACTTTGCAAGATTTAATACGCATATTAGAAGATTCTGTGCCCAATATGTATTAGGCTACATACCAGTCATTGTAATAATAGGAACAGCCCCGGATAATCATGGTCTGGGAAATAAGCTATTATGGATTATAAGGTGTCTCGGCTGCCTATTTATGGGATTGTTTTATGTTTTAAACGTAAAAGACGACCCAATATCGGCGACTACATATTGGCTTAATTCAGATCGATTTAAGGAAGATGGAAAACCGATTTCATTTAGACCTTTTGGGCATCATGCTAAAGAAATAAATTTATCCGACCAAGATCCACAAGTTATTCAATCACTTGAGGAGTGCATCGCAGAAGCAAGCCCTCTCGATCGGCTCTCATCCCTGGCTTCTGCCTATTACGTATTTGTAGGTATTTTTGCGGGTCTAACCAAGGCAATGCATCTAGCGCATTGCACCGAAGAGGATTGGCCTTATCTCCCATTATCATTAAGCTGGACCCTGCCAGCGGTCTATAAAAGGGTCTTTGGGGGGAGAATGGTAGTTAGAGACCCTAGAGAAAGGTTAGAAAAATTAGAGAAGGATCCCAATGAAAGAATAGAAGAACCAGAAAATAGGACATATATTGTTGTGAGAGATCTCCCAGATCACGTAAAAAATCCCAATGATGCCAGTATATTTGTGGTCACTTTTATCTTATTCTCATTAATAATTCCTTGGATAACAGTGCCACTTGCTTATTTCAGTCGTCTGATCAGATTTGGCTGCAGAAGCAAATATATCTCTGTCTTGTGCTCTATCTGGACAGTTAACAGTACTGTCGCATTTATTTCCCATGTTTTAGGAGAAAAATCTGTGTATAGCAGACGTATTCTTAGCATTTGGTTTTACTTTTCTGGTATTATAGTAGCAATCCTTTTGCTACTATTAGCATTATTAAATAGTACACGATCATGGTGGGTAGATTTATTCGGAGAGTCTTGTAATTTAACATGTTCAAGTCAAGATTATTAGCATATATAATAATTTAGCTATTATTTAGCTTATTTGTATTTTTTAATCTTAGTATGATTATAAACTATTATATGGTTTGAAATAGTAGTTAATGATTAATAACTATTTCGCACTAACGAAATGTAACAGTATCTTGAAATAATGAAATATTCAAGATCTTACTATATAATTTGACAATGTTTAGGACTTTTAAGTATTCCACAAATTATTTTAAATAATCTACAGAATAAAATATCTAAATAATATAATTAACGGGAGTTTAATTTAGTCGAATGAAATGAAATAAAACTCCCTTTGCCACCATCAAATAAATTGATATCTTTTTTTTTTTTAATGGAGAGCAAAATTGTTTTGATGATTTCGATTTATTTTATGTAGTAATAACAAGAAATGCCTAAATCTGAAAATGAAACAAATTATCCCATAGAATTTCCAGTATTTAAGCAAGAATATCTACGGTTAATATCTAGTAGCTTAAAATATTGATGCTCATTCTGGAATGGTTTACTACATCATTATTAGTAGCGTTAATTCCTATTGGTCACTGCAGTATTCCTAAATGACCGATGCAAATGGCCGAATATAAAATAAAATACGTTTAAAAAATCTTCGGGATTTGAGTCAGGATTTTATGCTGTTGGGATTTTGATCTATCGGGATATTTCAATATTGGATGTTTCATAAAAATATCGATCATTAAAATCCCACATATTCCTAATCGACTGGCATATTGTGAAGTTTTTGAGCTTGTGATATCACAAAAAGAATAGAAACAAATAGATGTTCAAGTTGCCGGAATATTCTTCGTGATGAGTAACGCCCAAAGCAAAAAAAGAGCTAAAGAAAAGATAAATAGGAATTTATAAATATGCAATATAATTTTATTAAATTTCTACTGACTTAATAATTATATTTATTTTGCGATAATAATGTTTGAATAATTATGTTAATTGGATCAAAAAAATTTATTATTTCAACGTATGGGCCGATATGACTCATTGCATACATAGTAATGGGGAATCAAATACTATTAAATTATCACATGCAAACGAACATATCCGCCGATATGATTATAGAATAAATGTGACAAATCACATTATTTATAATGGCTTCACGGGTTATTGCATTATGTTACGCAAAGATTCTCCCATACGAAAATTTTATTTTCAATGAATTTAAATCAATTTAAAGAGACAATCTGTCCTTCATCACAAGATGAAGAAATAGCTATTTCCATTATAAAAGATTCTTCTTCAGAATTAATTGTCGAAAATTCATTTACATACGGTTTATTTAATGACAAATATCCACTTCATTTAATAAGGTTGAATAATGTTTCAGAAAATTTTTCGATTTTTAAAAATAGAATTTCTTACAATACTACAAATGATTCTTATTATGAAAATGGGATTACAAAAAATAAATATCTCGAATTTTGGGATAAAGGTGCTTTAGAATACGATAATATTATTTATGTACCTGCCTATGGACATAATAGGTAATTAATTGCAAAAAAAATTCTAAAAAAAAAAAAATAATAATAATAACTAACTTTTTTTATTTTATTTTAGAGTATTTTTATCTAGCTTTAATTCAAATAAATTAGGTTATATTATATGGAAATTTGATTATAATGATCCTTATAAACAACAGCAATCTTTTCTTTAATATTCAAATCAGATTATATATTATTTGACTCCGCCACCGTTGAGCGCCTTTATTAAAAAATAAAAACTTGAACAATAACATTAATAATTCGGAATTAGGTTGGAAAAAACTTCCTGCATTTTCAGGAGAATTAAATTTAAGTGATATGGTTAAAGGAGAATGTTAAAAGTTGTATTATCAAATAGGGTGGCTCGAATATTTAATCAAAAGATGCATGAATATGGAGTTTTAAGGGATACTAAAGGAACATTTGGATTGGATGTTTGTATTGAATTAATTCAACGACAAAAAAGCTTTAGTAATTTATTAGAAGATAATATGAGATTAAAAGTAGATGAAAGCATTAAAAAAGATATTGTTACTGGATTATTCAATAATAAATATAAATTCAATATATTACCAAATGAAAAGAAGAAAAATTTATTCAATCATAGAATTTCATATAATACAAGAACCGATGCTTATTATGAAAATGGAATTACGACTAATAAATATTTAAAAAAGTAGAATCGTGGAGCCTTGGAATTTTATAATATCACTTATAATGTTGAATATAATTGGAGAAAGTAAGTACAAATTAATTATAATAAATTATATTAATTTAATGTATTAATAATATTATTTTAGATTATATTTAGCTAGGGAAAAAGAAAAAGACGTATATGATGAAACTGATGAAAATGAAGAAGATGGGAATCATTCAAGTTCGGGATATATAAAATGGAAGTTTGATTACAGACCCGGAAATTTTATTATTAAAACATTATCAATGAAATTAACTCAAAATACGTGGCATGATGATGCAGAAATTAAAATATCAATAATTCCATTAGCAACGAGACAAAATGAAGCGTCGCTAAATTGGAATCCAGTTTCATGTGATTTTATTTCTGGGTTATCATTATATTGGGTTTATAAAAAATCAGATTCAATATTGGATCTTTCATCATTTGTTAAAGGCGAATATGGTTTTATTTTAAGAATTCAATTATTAGGAAATAGTGATTGGGTAACTTGGGATAAATCTCAAATATTTAGACAAGAGATGGATAGATTAGGACCTTTGATGATGATGAAAATTTTGGGATGGATATAAAAGTTGAACTTGAACCCGATATTATATGTGAAGAATTATCTAAATATGGATTTGACAAAAATGAAATAATTTTAAATGATCAAAATACAAGTGATTTTATAATTAAATTAAAAGATTCAATTTTTGAAGATAAAGAAGTAGTTTATTATGTTCATAAATCTATCTTAAATTATTATTCAGAATATTTTAAGGGATTATTTAGTTCACAAATGATTGAAACAACAGATAGAATATTAACCCTCTCAGAAATTTCTACTAACTCATTTGAAAATATTCTTAACTTTATGTATACAGGACAAGTTAAAGATGTTTTGACCGATTTGGAAGAATGGATAGATTTACTTTATGGATCTTCAAGATTTATAATTCCATTTTTAATTAAAAAGTGCGAAAAATCCATTTCAAAGTATGTTAATAATGATAATGTAGAAGAAATTACAAAGATTGTGGTGCAGAACAATTACTTAGATATTGTCAAAAGTTGGAAAGTAAAAATAGGGATGCTTTATATCTATTAGATATATAACTTATATATATAATTCACCTAAAACTAACTTATATTTTTTCATATTTAATCTCATCTTTTTCATTTTTCAACTTCACAAAATTTGAGTAAGAAGCAAGGTATAATAATTAATCTAATCTTTAATTTAATTTATATTTTTAAGATTGTTAGTATTAAATAAATAAAGCAGTTTATTAAGAAAAATACAATCAAAATATTAAATTTTATTATATTATTTTCAATATATTTCTTTTCTTTTTTGTATTTTTATATAATTTAAGTAAATTTATAATTTATTTAAAATTTTCTTTTTATTTATACTTACATTAATTAGTTACATTTATTTGCAATTCAGATAATATTCTAATACTTTAAATTTTAAAATTATAATTTCAATTTGTTATATAAATTATTATTATTAAATAAAAGTTAAATGGAATAAAACTACCTATAAAATTTAATAAATTCCTCTTATTAAAATAAATTCAATAGTATAAATTTTATTAAACTTGAATTATTAACTAAAAAACAGAAATATATAATTTAAATTTTTGAAATTTTATATGATTAGTAAATAAATTTCAAATATAATTTATATATAAATTATTTAGAATTTTACTTAAAAAATAGTCAACCTTCTTTATAGATATCTTCCATATAAAAACAACTTTTCTTTTTAAGACATACATATTTTAGTTCTAATTTTTTTTATATATAAAACACTTTTTTTATAATCATTTTATTAATTATAAGCATAATCACATCAATCATCAGTTTCATATTATAATATTAAAATATATATATAATTTTTCTTATATAAGTATACAAATTACACAATTTAATAAAATAACTAATAAAGTACTTGTTATACAGTTTGTATTCTGAATTTAATGGTAAAGAAAGTTCAATAATTAAATAATTTAAATATATCTTATATTATAACTTTTTTTACAAATTTTTATATATGAAAATACTGAATTAATATCTTTACCAATTAGTACATCTCATTCTAATTATATTATTGAATAGTTTTAAAAAGTGTAATTATAAAAGGAATTAACTGTACAGTATATATTAAATTACTATTAAATTACTTAAACATAAAGAATTACAAATTAAAACAATACTAGTACTAAATAATATTACTAAATAATCTATTTAAATCAGTGGATATATCTAGGAAGAAAGCCTAATATAAAGAATATGTGTAATAAAGCAAAAAACTTTATAGCATAAAAATTCAAAGAAAATACTATTACTGATATATCAAGTCAAAAACTCAGGTAAAATATAGCTTATACTCATAAATTAACCAAAACTGAAATTACCAGCTTCTAGTTAATAAATACCTTTTACACTGGTTGATAAAAATAAATTCTTTAAGTAACTATATTATTAGAGTTAATAAACTATCTAAGAGTAAACTAAAAAAGAACTTTTTAGTATTATGCAATTTTTAAAAAAATATTTACCTTATTTTAAATGATCTTTCCAATTAAACTAATCTGCAATAAAAAATTTATGATGTGCCATCTTGACTTTATCTGTCCAAAAATTGATCACTAAAATCTATACTCTTCTTAAATTATATTCAACTTTCTTAAAAAAAAAAATGATTAGCAAATTACTTAATATTGATCAATTTTAGAATACTCCCTTACCTTTCAGAAAAACTCTAAAACAGAAGATAAAAAAAAAATGAGAAAAATTTACTAAAAATCTAAAAAAAAGACATAAACTTTAGAAAAACTAATCCAAAGGAGTAAAAACCTAAATAAAGAGGAAAACTTCACCAAACTATCATTAGGAATAACATTTTATTATTAAGAAAATGAATTTTTTCTACTTGACAAAATAGAAATACCTTCCTTCCAGCTTGGAATCTTCAATTTTATAAATAAAATCACTTAAAAAATATGAATAAGTACCACTGGACCCAATAAAGACAAGTAGTAAATATCAAGTTAGTATTTTAATCAAGTATTTAGGACAACTTCTTTAAATAAATGTATTTTAAAATAAGTGAAATATTATTTCTATGATAAAAAATGAGAAAAAGGAAATTAATAGTTAATATTAATGAAAATATTTATAATAAAATTTTTGATTAATTTAATAAAAATATTAATAAAAAATTTTCAAAATGGTAATAATAGGAATTTTAACATTTAAAATAAAATTAAGGGACAAATCGCCACTTAACTAAAGAATTTTAATAATGCTGATTTATGCAAATTATCACTAAAAATAGCTAATACTCTTTTTTTATCAGATTGTTATATCATTATGTAATATGATATATAAATTTTAAAGATGGTAATTAATAGTGACTTTTCTATGTAGGAACGCAAAATTCTGATGGTAAATTTCCTATTAACTCAAATATTGGATGAAAAATTTTTAAATATTTTTCACTATAACTAAGCTATATTTAGTTTTTTATTTAATTTTTAATCTTTATTTAGCTTTATTTGAATTTATTTAATATTCACATGCTTTATTAAACTTGTACAGTTCTTACTAAAACTATATATATATATCTATAGTGCAAGTTTATAAAATATTTTTTTTGGATATGAAAGTTATTGTATACTGTTTTTTTTTACTTATTGGAAAAAAATTTATAGTAAAGAACATGCATTGTATATAACAGAATTCTAATATTGCAGAAGGAGGATGGTATATATAACTTAACAAATAGAAAAATCTTGAAATATGATGAACAATGGTCAATAGCATTAGAAAAGCAAGACAATATATAAATTAATTCATTAGAGAAGGAAATAGGGTATTATGAAAGGTATAAAATATACAAATTTAACATAATCTTGTTTTTTTTTTATTTAAAGGGTAGTAAAAGCATATACTGAAGCCTTATGATACTATATAATTCAATAGTTATTATTGAAGGATACAGGTGAACTTTATAAGGTGATGGTAGGATATAGGAGCAATCTTATAGATGGAGAACTGGTTTGGAGTTTTAATAAATTAATTATATAACAGTTATTCTACTCTCTTACATATAATTAATAAACTCACAAATTGCACTACCTTACAAAAAAAAAAATTGGAATATATTTAATATAACTATATATAAAAAAGTGGCTCATATACAGACTTATTTGGCACAAATTTAGATATAAAAATGGTATAAATCTATGTACAAAAATAGATTAAAGCTGGACTATAACTTGATTAAACTTAAAATAAATACAATACAAATTTTATGCCAAATGGGCTCACTATATAGTACATAACTTATGGATATAAAATTTGGTACAAATTGATGCAAAACTTTTTATTGGGCAGTAAATAATATAGAATAAATTTATTTTTTTAAAGTAGACTAATCAATAAAAGTTTATGCAACTATATACAGTTAGCTCTCAATATAACGAAGTTGGTAGTTTGGCCAATCAGGCCTTCATTATAAGAAAATTCATTAATAAAATATAGCGAATTTTGATATAATGAGAAGGGTATTGCTAAATATCACCAGTGATGATCGTCACCACATGTAAAATATTTTTTGAATTTTCAAAAATTTTTGACTGAGATATTATTCTAATTATAATATAAATATTATTACTATATGTAAATTTATGGGTAGAACAAGTTTGCCTTAGATTATAAAGGCTGTTGTTTAGATAGTTTTTGAGAAAAATAGGAAAGTTTGATTTTATAAGTAAAATACAATTTTTTGGTTTAAAAAAAGATTTTTTTTAGTCAAATTTTCAAAATTTTAGTGTGATTAGTATCTACTCAGGTTTGTTTTACACATTTATTATTTAAATTGAAATTTTTGAAAAAAAATTTATGATATGTTTTTTAACTCTGGCCAAAATTATAATTTTCGGCCAGAATTAAGTGGTGTGGTGACGATCACCACTGGTGATATTTAGCAATACCCTAATGAGAAAATCTGGTATATGAAGCTTATGATTATGTACAACGTATATTACACAAAATATCATCATTGTATTTATAAAAGTTCGTTATAAAAAGAAATTCGGTATAAAAAGAGTCATTTTATTATGTACAGTTTATAGACTTCCTTCGTTAAACGGTATACAGCATTTAATTAGTAATATTCGTTATAGCAAATTTTTTTCATATGTTAAAATTGGTACAACACTAAAGATTCGTTATACCAAATAATTCGTTTTATCACCTGGCTACTAATTGGTATTTAGGATTTTTTCCGCCATTTATAAACTGGCGGACCAATTAATCTAGTAGTATTTAAATGGGTTATCATCCAACCCATTTATATACTAAACTAGATCAGTAAATAACTAATACATATCAAAATTCGTTATAACGAGAGACGACTGTAAAGAATTTTGTCCGTTATTTCTGTAAAAACCCGTAAGAATGAGCCTTTTATGGATCCATTCACGGAAAATGTAATTATTCAATAAATTCCATGATATAAGGTTACTAATTCCGGAAATATGAGCCCTTTACAGAAAAAATATGGAATTTTTATAGGGAAAAATAAAAATGAGATGTAGGTTAATTTTGAAAAAACAATTTGAAAAAACAATTAATACTTGTCATTTTTTTATAAGTATCCCATATAGAATTATGTAAATTATATGTTGGTTTTATCTGTTATGGAGTTTTTTTTAGAATAAAATGGTATATAACTATACTTATGAGCAATGTTGTCATGGGACCGGACAGTTGGTCCATGTCCGCTACAGTATAATTTCATGTCCGGGACATTATTGCCAGCCGTTTTTCTTGTTTATTCCAGTCAAAAGTTTTTTAAGGTTGGGTTAACAGCTTGTCTGTATCCGGACTATAGACGCAGACATGGATTATTTGACACAAAAAAAATCGCCGGACATACAATGTCCCGTGTACAACACTGCTTTATTTTGTATCCTAATTACTAAAATTCACAAAATTATTGGCAGATGTAGGTAATTGGTTATTTGATGAGATTTACGTGAAGTGTATTATCAGGTAAGGTAGCTTTATGAAATCTGAAATGAACTAGAGATTTATTGGTGGTAACGATTTCATGAACCTTTTCACAAAAATGTATTTAATTTTTTACTTGTAAAATTATTTACTAAAAATAACAACATTAATGTACGTAAGATTTTTAACAAAGTCTTGGCAAATTTTTACGCACATCAATGCAAGCATTAGATCAGCAATTGAAATTTTCTTCGTTAGTGCAAGAAAATGAATATCAATATCTATTTTTATTTTTGGAAACAAATTATTTTATATAATTGTATTATTTTTCCTTCTTTTTCTGTATTATAATTTGGTGGGGGGGAATAATTTAAAACAATTATGATATTTAAACATATTAAGATTTTCGGAAGTTTTCGGTAAAATAGGAAATAATCGGTACATCAAATTTGAGGGGCGCTTTAAACATATGTGAACATATGTGTTTAAATTATTTTAAAATTTCCAAAAATAGAGGGGGGGGAAGTTAAACTAAAAATTAATTTGGAATGGCCTTAAATTCAGATATAAAATTAGAACATACAAATCATATACTCAGAGATCTTAATTCGTCAATGTATACACTATTTAACTAAATATAGATGACATACGGATCAACAAAAAAAGGTCTTGTCCAAAAATATTCTAATTCCTTTTGACAGTAATTCTCTATATAAACTTCCTCGAAAATTCGAAAAAAAGGAATTAAAGCTAATCTTATTATTTAAAATTTATTTAAATAAAATTAATTCAATTCCGCTTTAATCAATTCATTAATACAAATGGCAAAATTATCCACACTTATTATTATTCTTGCGATCGTTGCATCTGCCCATGCCGCCGCTGTATGGTTAAGGCGCGAAACACCTCAAACCGTAACGGTGGAAAGTGAAGAAGTATTCTGCTCGTTCCTTCCAAAAACGCATGGAGAAGAAATCGGGGATAGTGAAGACGATGCTATACCATTTTGCACTGAGGCTAACCCTGCCAATGCACCTGGAGCCAAAAAATTTCCCAACGGTTTCATTAAGTCTGCTAACTTTGCTAAAGGAAAAGGGTTTGTTCAAATAACCGGTACCATTGACAGAACTAAGTACAAATTGAAAAAAAGTGATGGAGGCGGTCAATATGATACTAAAGCACCTTCTGGTGCAGTATGCAAAGGATTTAAAAATTTCGTGAACTTGGTTGAACCTGATATTAACACATTCTGCATTCGCTGCTGCACTGACACCAAAAAGTGCAATACCGGAAAGAGTACTGAAGGTTGCGCTGTTGTCGTCCCTGGTGATTACAGTTAAAATCAGATATTTTTAATATAGTAGTTATTATTAATTACACTTAGTTTAATTATACCATTAGTTAACAATTTATACCTTTACATTAATTAATTTTATAAATTAAAATTACGTGTTTATGAAAAAAAAATTAATGATTTTTTCTTAGATTTTTAAACTTTGCAAAATGATGTCAAATGGACTAGTTACACGAATTATCATTATACTTTATTATTAGACCTTAATAAAAAATTTTTAAATATTTTACTAATAAAAAAAATAATATTTCGATATTTAATATTTTGCATTTGTTATATATTGTATATTTTCTATGCACATACAGTACTTTTTTATTTTTCTGATATTCATACATATGCATACATCAGATCAAAAATTCTAATTACACAGAACCTTATAATCACGTGATGTTAATTATGCAGCGACTAAATAAAACATGACAACTGTTCGAAAGTAAAATTACCTAATGCAAAATTAAAAACTATTGTTGTTAATGCTAATTTTAAAGGGCAAAAATGAAACACTAGCTTGGAGTTGAATATTACATTTGCGTATCGAAAAGTTTTTTACAAGTTTCATTATTAAATTGCTGCAAAAGAAGTTAGTAAACTACTACAGCTTCGTCATTGACAATTGTCGTTATCTTGTTTAATAACACGAATAACAAATTTTGCCTTATCTTGTTAAACTCAAGTTTAATTCTCAAATAAACACGTATTATAATGCAATGTCTCAACATCATTGCTAAAAGTTTGTCTTTGTATTTGTCAATAGACATTATGGAGAGTATCATATACACAGTGAAATTCGATATAACGGAACCCCAATAAACCGGAACTGGCCTTATACCGGAACATTTTCCGGAACCAAATCACATATATAATATATTACAGCTGTTTTCATAAGAATTTTTGAACCCGATCCGCCGATCCGCCGATCCGGTATTTTTAGCTGGGCACGCGATCCTGATTTGATAGTTTGATTTGTAAAATTTTTGTCCCAGGTCTTATGAAAACAGCTGTAAAATAAATTTGATATAACGGAATTTATTAGTAAATTCTCGATAATGGTTATAACGGAACAAATAACGAATCAGTTATATTAAAAATTATTCGATTTATCGGAACACGTGACGATTCACGGTTTAAAGCAACCTTTTAAGAAATTTTAGTGGAATACGCAAGCTTTGAAGACTCAGATGAAATTTTTTTTGACTAGGAATGTTAAAAATATTGAATATTTGAACACTTTATAAGGTTGTAATATAAATAGAATTTCCTAAATAAGATTGTTTGTTTGGGAATATTAATATATGTGAAACCCTAAAAATAAATCGAAATCTTTTTTTTACACTTTAATCACGAACTTTTTTATTGAAAATATGTCTAATAGTGAAGTAAGAAAAGCAAAAACAGGGTAGGATAGGTGATTTTTTTTAAGTTTTAGTTAATTTCAGTGTATAAAATTTCTCAAATAATGTTTTAAATAAAAAATAATCTAAATTTTCAATGTTCGTCGCACATGTCGCACAAATAAAAACGGAATTTCACATGATTTATATATAAAATCCGGTATATCGAAATTTTTTGATATATCGGAAGTCTCGATATACCGGATATTTTACTGGAACGGATGGTTCCGTTATATCGAATTTCACTGTGTAAATATAGAAATATAGAACAAGTTTATAAATGATTGATTACTTGGGATCAAAGGCTGTAATTGCGGAAATTTAGAATCAAATCGAGCATTATCAATGCATTATCAATTGAACAGTAAATTTATAAAATAAAATTCATTTTATTTATCATTATTAATAACTTTGTCCGTCTGCTTAACGAATTATACATCCGCCAAGGACAGATCCTGTATTTTCTTTATCACTGTTTTTAGATTTTTCATTTTTTCTTGCGTTTTGAAATACCCTCCAAAATTTCAAATTTTCATCACTTGCTGCCGTGGCAACTACTTGATTATAAGGACTGATAGTCGAGTGTAAGATACCAGATTCATGAGCTGGAATGTCGGCAGTTTTATTTAGAGTAGGATAAGACCAAATCGTCATATTATGATTCGGAAATCCATGAGTTGATAAAAGTTCTTTAAAATCTTTGGACCAAATGATCGAAGTCACTTGAGATCCTGTATCAATAGATTTTACACGAGCGTCAGAGCTCACGTTCCAGAAATGAATATGCCGATCATAAGAACCTCCTCCTGAAGCAAGAATATGACTTTGCCAAGGGCACCATGATAAAGCCTTATTAAGTCCAAAATAGTAAATTATAATTACTTTTAAAGAAGTTGCAAATCATAATCTTACCTTTACAGCAGTAACATGATTGTTTTTTTGTTAATCTTGGAGTGCTTGCTCTTGCGTCCCAAATATTCACCCGATTGTCGTTACCCCCGCTCGCCAATTGATCGCCATTAGAGTTCCATTTTAATCCATAAACTTCACTAGTATGGTCAATCAACTCAGCTACTTTATGTTGAGCAACTCTGGTATCATGATGCTAAATATTTCCATCTTTACATCCAGAAGAGTATGTCCAACATAGATCTAATTTTTTGCTCTTTTAAAACATCCCAAATTTAAACTTATACTTCTATAACAACTGTCGGCTGTAGCCAGGCACAATGTTATAGGATTGCAAAGTTTCATTGCTAGCTCCATTTCATGCTCACCAGATGTAACCATGCACGGTGAACAGGATTGCAAAGTCTCGAATACTAGCTCCACTTCACACTTCCATGTATCAGCCACCGGCTGTAACCAGGCGTGGTAGTCATGGGTCAGAAACTAAAATGATTAGTAGCAAGAGACAATTTTTACATGTCAAGTTGTCAACCCATCAAAGGATCATCATCAACTTAAATTGAAAACGCTAAAAAATTATTGGTTGATTTAATCGTGACTCGTACTATACTAAGCCACTGACACGTACTAAGATGCGCGTTAGTTTATATATTTGATATACTTTTCCACAAATTTTCAGTCACATATTTTATTCGATACGTTCTTAATATTCTACATCCTTTTAATTACTGGTTATTTTTTTACTCTTAATCCCTTTAAATCCCTACTTAGTAGAAACTCTTTTTGATGGATGACAATCTCAAAGAATCACGCTTGAAGAGCACGAAGCATTTTAAAATATATTTTTTTGACATGCTGTAGTCTATCTTGAAATACGTCCTTTAGTTCTAATTAGGTTTGTATTAGCACGCATTCGTTCATATCTCAAAGCAGTTGCTAATTCAATTGGGCCATTTTCTGTTTCAACTACAAAATTCTTTGGATTATTTGCTGCCTTATTATTGGATTTCTGATGTTCTTTTTGAGTATACTCATCAAATATAACTAAAAAGAAATATAATTTAATGTAATAAACCCTTTGTAATACACTTCTTATATGTAATATTGTAAATACTTTACCATTTTTTGCATAATAAACATACAATCTACTCCTTTTTTTGTTACACATCATGATTAACAATATCAAAAAATGAATTTTTTATAGGGTTATGCTCTAATTCAAATTTATCATCACTCTCAGATACTAATTGATCAAGAACATTTGGCAAATTGTTTCTCATCATAATGCGCTGTTGGTGTTGTAATAGCATCTGACTAATCTGAGTATCTTAAGTACTATCTTTAGAAGTTTGATTAGATAAGCTATCACCATCATTATCATCATGAGTATTATTATTATTTATCATAAGATTTGATGCAAAGCTATTGTGTTTAAAGGTACATAAAGTATTCTAGATAATGGCAATATATTCAGATGATTTGTAATTAATTCCTACGCTTTGTAATATAGAATTCATTGCCTTTAAAATCTATAATAAATATTAAATTTATTAGTAATAATTACATAATATTAAATTCAAAATTAAGTTTTAACTTTACAGACCTTTATTATATTAGAATCTATATCATAAATATTCAGAAAATTTGATAGAGTTTCTGGAAGTCTATCTTTTGCAGTTGAAAGATAAATATTATATCCATCATTATTATCTGGTTTTCCTTAAAGGCCAAAAGTAAAATTAACATTTGATTTTAACATATTTAATTAATACAAAAAATTAAAAATCTTACCTTTCATTTTGTTTGAAATTGTTTTAATTATTTTTTCATTCATTATTAAAAAATCCAACACAGCAAAATCTTCTATAATTCACTTGCATAACCAAATATATGCTCCAAAAAAGCAGTAGAAATAAGTCAAGGATATAATGGAATTCCAGCATAATGATTTAAAAATTGATGAATTAAAAATATTAAAGTAGTGCCAAGGTAAATAAAATCATCATTTAATTGCCAAAAAATGCTATATTTTTGAAAATTTCATTAGTATTGATTTGATATTAAGTAATGATGTGTTATTGCAAAAAATATTGTTGCTGCCCATGCAAATTGAATTCTTTTTAAATGTTTCATTATACATAATTTCTATAATTCAAACAATAAACCTGCAAAAAAATGATATATAATATCTTTATAAAATGAATCATCATTGTGTTCAATAGTATGTTAAACTATAGTTAAATTTAAATAAATTAAATTTAATTTATTATTTATTAATAATAAAAGAATTATAAAATAAATATTTATTACCTTTTAATATATTAGAAGAAAAAAATCTTTCTGCTGCTTGTTTATCTTTCAGATTTAATACTTCATTTGTCAATCCTGATTTGCTTCCATATTGCTCTTTTAAATACCAAAGATATTCAGTTGACATAATAAAATTGCCAATTGGACAAATTCATGCATATGTTTTAGCCTATATTTGAACTTTATTTATTAACTTAACAAATTATAATAATATAAAAAACTTTAAAACCAATTTATACCTTTTTTAACACAATGAAAAATATCAGTTCTATTAATTAAAAGCTGACTATTATCAGATAATATTCCAATTTCTATGGGAAATTTTTTTGAAAAAAATGTGTCATCCTAAATTTTAAAAAAAGTTATTAATATAATAAATATATTAAATAATAATAATTACAGTATATATTTATTAATATTAAATTAAGATTATTAAAAACTGATGAATTTTTACTATAAATTTCTCCAATCCTAAGACCGATCATATGCAGCACTATCAAAATAAAGTCTAATAGGTTTTGCATCTGATTTTATTAATTTTTTTAAAACTGTATTATTTTCTAAAAATGCATCAGCTTTAGTCTTTTTTTAATTTGATGGTATTATAGCTAATACTAGTGGCAGAATACCTAGTAAAATAGCTGATAATGTAAAAACAGTAATATATGTAGTTTTTTCAAATGATGAAAATTTTGCATAAAGTTCCTCAGTAGTCAGTATTGTTTAACTATCAATTGGAATTGACCCTACCTATTATTGACGTGTTTTGCAAATTTTGATTATTTTAGCAACTTTTGTTTGATTTTTTGCACATATAGTTAGACTATTATAATTGTATGCTGTCTGCCAGATTGCAATAAGTTCTTCAAATACACAAGGATTAATATCATGAATATTAAAATCCTGGCTATTTTCATTTCATTTCTTATATACAAATCAAATTGTTGCTCTAGTTATATTCGCAGTAATCCATTAAACTGATAATGTACTAATTGATATTAATATAATGAGAAAATCTACAAAACTTTCATTATATTACTCAATTTTACGCATTGAGGTTACCTCACATTCTATTTTATCAAGAACCTTAGTAACTGCTTGTGTTATACTAAAAAATACTGAGCATTGTTCATCCATAGTTTATCAATCATAAATGCTGCACATTTTCCAATTCAATTTTCAAATCCATTTGTCTTAACAGCTTGCAGAATTTGACCAAATGCTGAATATAATTAAATAAGTGAATGATAGAAATGATCTTTAAATTTCCCTATAAAAAAAAAATTTTAAATATATTTAAAATATATTTAATTTTCTTTAAAATATATTTAATTTTCTTTAAAATATACTTAATTTTCTTATTTTATACTTAAAATATACTGAAAATTGAATTTTCACAAAGGGTAATTTTAACGCTCACCCAGGTGAAAATCACCTGGTCATATGATTTTTAAAATTTATACATATAAAGTAAAACTGATTTTTAATAAATTATATTAACTAAATTGCCAATAAATTAAAATTTTTCTCTTTACTTTATTAAAGCATTATAAAATTTGATAGCTAAAATGTTAACCAAAATGGTGAAATTATATTCTTAGTAAGAAAAATTCAAAAATTAGTACTATTATAAAAAATACGGATATCTTTGCAAACATAATACCTACACTCATATAATTGTTTTTCACCTTGCTAAACAATTTTCACTTAATAAAGAAAGTCGATTTCATTTGAGCAAAGTAGTGAAATTACGTTCTGAATTTAATAAACATCAGCAAGTTTGAAAAGTGTTGATTCACACCAGTATACACGTTGATCAACACCAGCTAGTTGTTCAACGTGATTAACAATATTAATCACACCCATATACTGGAGTATATCAGCGCATAATATTAATATACATGTTGTTTATCTCTAATTTGTAGTTCAACACATTATACATTGTTGTTCAATGCACTGTATATTAACGCATATATATAATTACATGTGTATATTTTAATTAAATTATATTTATTTATTTATTTTTACTTACCTTAGGAACTGAACTGGTTACCACAACTTACAATATCATATCTCACTGTACTATTTAATTTAAGTATAATATACATTTATTAAAATTAGTATTTAAAAAAAAAAATCTTTTCGGTAATACTTAAGGTTGCTTGCCGAAACCTAGGGGTTTAGGCAAGATGGCGTTTCGCCGAAAAGCGAAATTCTGCTGAAACTATATTAAAGTTATATTAAAAAACTGGCGAAACTATGGAGAAAGGCGAAACTGCAAAAACTTATTATAAATACAGAAACTGCCAAAACTCAGCCGAAACTATAATAAATCTATAGTAAAATTTTGACGAAACTAATCGTAGGATTTTGAAGAGGTTTAGACAAGCAACCTTAGTAATACTATAATGGCCGTACTCTATATCTAAAAAAACTTTGATTTGAATTTATATAAACCTTATAATTAATTTCTATAAAATTATATATTGATTTTAGTTTCAAATTTTGCTATTTTTGGATCCAGTAATTGGATTTTAATAATTTTTAGCTTGTTAGATTCATTTTAATGAGATGAATATTTTGATATATAATTCATTATTTAGGTGTACTAATATTGACTGGAATATTGCATTTTAAAATTTTAGTTATACAGAATTTAAGTTGTTTTAGTAATCTTTGGAATTTTATCCCAACTGTGGATCTGTCTAATCTGTATAAATTATATAAATACTTTTAAAACAGAAAAAAAAAAAATTAGATAAAATTTAGTTTATTAAATTTATCTTAATAAGATAAATCCAATAGTAACAATTACATATCTTTAAATTTAATAGTTTAGTTATAAATTTATTTTATATGCTTTTTATTAAAGAATATTAATTTGTTATCATTTTTCCAATTTGCAAATATTTTATTGTATTTAAAATTATTATAAATAATTCCAAAATTGATTTTTATAGTAAAGCTATATTTTGCTAAAATCTAAAATCTGAAATTATTTTTTATATAGTAAATAACTTAATTTACTTAATAGTTAAAATTATATTTAAAATTATTTAAATTCTTTAATCTAATATATATTAAATTGCATAATTACTTTTTTTTTTTATAAAATATAAAATTTTTGCTGAAATTACATTTTTTTAAAAATTTATTTAAAGACTATTTATAAATTATAATTACTATTATTGGATTTATTTTAGTAATATAATTTTAATAAGTTGTATTTTATCCTAAATACTTATAAATTTTACTTAAAAAGTTAGCAGACAAATTTACTTGCTATAATATTTATTATATAAATAATTTGCTTATTCAGTTATATAAAAATTTAAATTTGTTAAATTTTGCTACTAAATTTAATACATTAATACAGTTAACTCTCTTTATAGTCATACATTTGGGACAGTCTATATTTGGTGATTATAAAGAGATGTGACTATATAAAAAAATTCTTATATTTGTGTATCATAATTCCGGCCAAAAATTAACATAATTTTGGCCAGAATTATACTTAATACTTTATTGTATCGTAACTCTGCCAATATTAATCGTAGAGAGATGATCTTACTGCCATTCAATTTGTCTTGATGAGGCAATTTCAACAAGCTATTAATTGTCATTTTATAATCACTAAGTACCGAGAAATTTAGCAAAATGTAAAATGGCGCAGTAAACGTAAATCAAGTATTAGTTATTCACTAATCTAGTAGTATATAAGAAATATTATAATGCTGATGTTTAACATTTTGTTGAATAACTCATCAGCCAGTGATCGTAAAAGGATAAAACATTCCTTGTACTCCTCTTATGGTAGTCGTGCCACGTGTAGTGGATCCAACGATTTGAAGAGGATCATCGTCCACTTCCGAAAAAAGGAAGATCTTGACAACGCCACAGCCTCCCCTATGGATTCTTTGTTTGGCTTGCATTTCCATGCATATGACCCCCAGGCTATTAAGGCTGATGAACACGCGCGTACCCTGGTGGTTACCGATATCCCCTTTTTCTAACTGACGCTCTTTTGCGTGGTACCTTTTCTCGTTACGGCAATATTACTCGTTGCCATACCCGTTTATCTAAACTTTATCGTACTGCATACATTACCTTTGAATCTACTGGTGCTTTACAGAACCTCGACTCTACCTGGGGCGTCCTTTGTGGAGGACATTGTTTGCGTATCTGCCCCGCTACTTTCTCACCTGAACAACGCGCTGAAAGACGCGCTTATGTTGCTTTACTTGCCGGTCTCCCGCGTGGCACTATAGCGGTCGATCTTGCTGAAATTGCCGATGAAATTTCCGCTAAATCTATCAATGTTCCCTTCTCTATGAATTCTTACAATCCCAAACCTTACGCCTATTGCCATTTTGCCTCTGAAACGGCTATGGAAAATGCTAAATCTATTTCATGTGCCCTCAAGAAAGTTGGCCTTACCTGGCATTCTCCGGATGAAGTCACTTCTCTTTGTCATCGATGTGGTCGCCCTAATTGTAACCCTGATCGATGTGGTTCTTCATCTAGACCTAATCGCCCTTCTCGCCCTTGGCAATCTAATGATAAATTACGTGCTTTATATAATAAGCATCTACCTCCTTCTCATCCTGCTAAACGACATAACCGTTTTGCCCGCCCTGATAACAATAATGATGGACAAAGCCGTACCAATGCTTCTCGCCATCGTTCTAAATCCAGACCTAATAACCGACAACAATCTCGTTCTCGTTCTCAACATCGACCATGGAATCGCGACAATCTTAATAACAACAATAATAATCAACGTCGTCGTATTCCTGATGCAAATGAACTTGATCACTATGCTGATGGCATGGATGTTACATACCCTGCTCCTCCTACTGTGCTTACTGATTGGAAATCTATTGGTGCTGCTCTTGAAAAAGTAGTTGAAGAATTAGCCCTTCTTACCACACAATTTGCTACCATGAACAGCCGCATCACTAATTTGGAATCTGCTATGGCTGCTCGTGCTCCTATTCCTGGCCCTTTTGTCACTAAACCTCCTTCCTACATCCCTTCCTCTATGCAAGGATGGGATGATACAGTGAATCGAACTGATAATAATATCCTCGTTGATGTTAATTCTCCCCCTTTGCAATCAACAAGTGGGTTTTCCCCGATTCCTCATTTTGCTCCCATTCCACCTTCCAACGTAGCTCCTTCCTACCCTATTGATATGGAACAGCGTATCTCCTCTCTTTCCGATACTGTTGCCTCTTTGGCTGGCTCGATTAAAGAAGGAATCCAACAAAACAACCTCATCTTAGCTCGGCAACAAGGCCAAGCTAATCAATAATTGTTCTCTTTTTCCCCCTTCTTTATTACCGATTTATCAGTGTGTAATAATGATGGACAATAAAAAACATAATTTTTCCCCTCACCCCTCTCCCCTTATAAAATTTGGTCAATTAAATGTTAATGGTTTATGTTCCCCAGTTCGACAACAACATTTGCTTAATTTTTTTCTTCACTCTTCTTTTGGTGCTTTATCTATTAATGATACGCGTCTTTCACCTTCAAATGCTAAATTTATTTTTAAAAATGAACACTCCCAACATCACTTTAAGTCCTATTGGGCTTGTTCATCATCTTCTTCTAGCCCTCATGATGGTGTTGGTATTTTGTTACGTAATCCCCTTCATAAACATGTTCAAACAATTGATCCTTACAACGGTCGACTTCTTAAATTAGATTTGTTCTTTCATCAAACTAAAATTTCTATTATTTCTATATATTATCCCCCTTCTGGTTCTGTTCATCAATCTATTTGCAATGATCTAATTGCCAAACTCCTTTCTTGGCTCGATTATGTCCGAGCTAATAATTATTTTGTAGTTATTCTTGGCGACTTCAATGCTGATGTAATCGCTCATTCTAATTCTTCACCTATTCATTTTAAGCTTCTTCGCTTGCTTTCTTCTCGGTTTTTTACCGATCATCAAGCTCACTCCTCTACGAATGGTCCTGATCCCACTTTCTTTCATGCTTATGGATCTTCTAGACTGGATTATATTTGGTCTTCGCCTGGTTTTCCTGCCCCTGGTCTTTTTTCGCAAGTGGTTACTTGCCCGGATCTCCTTGATCGGCCTTTTACAGATCACAAAGTTCTTTCAACTGTT